GGGCCCTAGGCCCTAGGGCACAGGAGGACGAGGAGGAGAGCGACGAGGGACGAGTCCACTTCGATCCGATCGATCCGATTCGATATCGAGGCACGCCGGCCCGATCTCGCGCTCGTCTTGCGGGCGCCGCCAGGCTGCAGACGAGCTGGCCCCGGGCGGCCGCTTGGGGCCCTGGCGCGCGTGAGGGCGCGGCCCCGCGGGTGTTTTTTTGCCTTCCTGGCGCGCTCGGGCGGAGCCCGGGCTTGGCCCTCGGCGGGCGAGGGGGGACGGGGCAGGGGGGGAGGGGAGGGGAGGGCGGGAGGGGAGGGCGGAGGGGGGGACGGAGGAGCGGCGTCGAGGGGCGGGGGGAAGGCTGGGGGGGGGGGAGGAGGTAGGGGGGGGAGAGGTAGGGGGGGAGGACAGGGGGGGAGGGGGAGAGGGACGGGAGGGGAGGGGAGGCAGGGGAGAGAGGAGGGAGGACGGGAGGGGGGGACGGGAGGGGGGGACGGGAAGGGGGCGGGTGGGAAGGGCGGGGAAGGCGAGGGGATTTGATGGGGGCGGGCGGGGGAAGCCAGGGGGGGCGGGCTTGGGCAGGAAGAGGGGGGAGGGGAGGGGCGCGGGAGGCAGGCCAATTCGGTGCGCTCGCGCCATATCTGACATCCTGCCCCTCCCGCCCATCCCTGGCCACTGTGCTGATTGTTTCTCTATCCGCGGATGAGTGTCATAAGGGACCGGGAGCTCCAAAAGAGACCCCATCGTGCGATACGCAATCGGAACAGGAGCTGCGCAGGTGGGAGGAGGAGGAGGAGGCGGAGGAGGAGGCGGGTGAGCAGGTGGAGGAGGAGGAGGAGGAAAATGAAGAGGGTGAAGAAGAAGGAGGACGAGGACGAACAGCAGTAGCAGCAGGAACTGAAGTGGAAGGAGCGGGAGGCGCAGGAGGACCAGGGGAAGGCGGGGGAGGGGAAATGAGAGGGCGACAACGAGCAGGAAGGGCTCGGATCCAGAAGAGTTGCCCACGCTGGGGCGACAGGGACGACGGGAGCAACGCGCCGATCCGAAAGTGTGGCCCACGCTGCAGCGGGAACATCGTTTTGAAGCACCGAAGACAGTTGCATGGCCAAACACCACAGGAACGACCAGCTGTGTCCAGTTCTGTTTGTTGAGAGCAAAACGCGGAGAGGGCGGGATCATCTTCCGGACAGAATCAGGGGAGAGATGAGAGTAGTCTTCATAAGCTGTAATTGTAGAGGGGGGGGCGGGGGAGGGGACAGGAGGGGGAGCGGGAAGGAAGGGCGGGAACGGCGAGGGGAGGTGACCTGGGGAGCCTCGCGGGAGGATCCTGGGACGCCGAGAGGGTCCTCGAGGCCCCCCTCTCCTCCCCCCTCCCCCGCGCGAGAGGCCCTCGGGTCGAGGCCCGTGCCTTGGGCGAAGGTCGACCCTGCCCAGAGGTGCCTGGAAGGCTGGATTCTTCGACCGCCGCTGTCTCTGATCCTCGCCCTCTCTTCCGGTCCCTCGCCCATCCTCCGTCATCCCTCCTCTTCCTCATCCCTCCTCCTCCTCTCTATCCACCCCTCGGTTTCATTATATATATGTGTATATATATATATGCATATCCTGCATCCGCTTTACACTGCTCGTTGCTTTCCTCCTGTTCCTGCTCCTGCTGGTGGTTCGAATGTGTTGCCTCTCATCAGTTTTAGCATCATGGTTATGATTGGTATTTCTGAGCTGCTCCTAGGTTTCATCCTCACCCCTCTTCCTGCTCCTTCACCTCGTGCTCTGTCTCTAGACTCGAAGGTTTCCCTGCCGAGGTTTTGGATGTTCCCGGGGGTCTCTTGTCTCTTGTGCTACTCCTCAGTGTTCTGCGCCTCCTCCAGGATGAGAAGCAACAAGCTGAGAAAGTTGTCTGGTGTGTTTCGGCATTTGTCGGGTGGGTCAGGGTTTGGGGCCGTTTCTGGAGGAGGAGGAGGAGGAGAAGGACGAGGAGGAAGAGGAGGACAAGGGGGATTGGAAGAAGGGGGCGGAGGACAAGGGACGGAATGGTGGAGGAGAAGGAGGATGGAAGAGAAGACGCCAAACATTAGATGCGTGCACAATGCAAAACAAAAAGGCACTACGCTGGGAATACCTAGAGCCAACGCGCGCTTCAGCAAGTTAGTGGTGCAGAGTCGTTCGGTACCTCATGTCTCCGCGTTTCACCTTGACCATGGAACTCAATGTGGGTCAAGTGCTCGCAATAACGTTGGTATTCTCGGTGGCTGCCACATGCGCGAACGACCAGTTATTCCACGCATGATGCAGGAACGCAGAATGGATTCGGAGTGTCAGCAGCCACCGCGCGTGTGAGTGTTTCGCTCGATGTCATCGATCGGGGGGGGCAGCGGGGCAGGAGAACGGAGCGGGAGCATACTGGGAAAGTTGCTCCTGGGCTGTCTTGGGGGCCCCTGGGGTCTGTTGGGGGGCCTCTGCTGCATTGCTTCCCGCTGTGTTGGGTCAGGTGTGAGGGCCTCTCCCGCGAGACTGGCCCCAGACGAAGGGTCGAGCACCGGGCAAAGTGGTCGGGACTTCTCTTGCGAAGTTGGCCCCCAAACTTGGCCAAACCAAGCAGGCTGTCAGAACCTCTTGGCCGAACCAGGGACCAAACTCGGGGCCAGCTCGGGCAGACTGCGAGGACGTCCCACGCACACGACGGGGGCCAGACCAGCCCAGGGCAGCAGTCAGCACAGCCGAGTCTTGAACCTCCGCCACGAAAAACCGGCCAAGCCAGGCTCCATCCACTCCCCTTCGAATGTAATGGCATTTGAACTCATGGGCTGGCTGCGGATGTGCCATGGTCGGACGGGGCTGGGACGAGGATAAATCTGTTCCAGAGCGTTCCAGAACGCTCTCAGAGCGTTCCGCAACGCTCCGAGAAGGCCGCGGCGCTCGGAACGTCCTCCCAAACCCCGGGGTCTCAGAGATTTCCGAGTCACCTTCGCCCGAATTTTGATCTTCGCCCTGGTTTTGCCTTAGAACCCCCAAGGGCGCCCTCGAGGGCGCGAAGTTATTCGCGCTTCGCGCTCCTCTTCTCCCCTGGGAGGCGGCGCGAGAGCGCGACGTGATTCGCCTTTCGCGCTTCGCGCAGCGCGCAGCGCGAAGCTGGGAGCCCTTGGAACCCCCCAGGCAGGCGCGCGACCACTTGTCAGCTGTCGGCTGTACAGTCGGGGCCCTGAAGAAGGAACCCTTTTCGTTGGGGAGGGGCTCCGTGCTCCTCAATTGTTTCGCAGCTTGCCTCAGGTTGTCCTCATCTTTCCGATGGGGAATCGACTTATAACGTATGGTAAAAAGGGGCCTCGCTCCTTATTTGGGGTTCCTTAGGTCAACGCCCCGACTGCAGGGGGGGGGCGTCCAGGAGCACGCGCCCAGGGGTGCGGGGCGGGCCAGCCCTTGGGACGTTCGCGTCTCGCGTGGCGCAGGCCGGGCGCGCGGCCGGTCACCTGTTTCGGGGCCGTCGTCGGGGCCGCCGCGCGGCGTGGCGTGGGAGGAGCTCCGTCTCGGTCTGCGGGCGCGTCGGAGAGGTTTTCGACGGCCCCCCGGGAGGTCCAAGAAGGGAGCGGGGAGGAGGCGGGGGAGGCGGAGGATGCCTGTTCCTCTCCGTCCTGCTTGCTCTCCCCCTCCGCCTCCTCCTCCTGCTCCTCCTCCTCCTCCTCATTTTTCTCCCTCCTCCTCCTCCTCCTCCTCCTCCTCCTCCTCCTCCTCCTCCTCCTCCTCCTCCTCCTCCTCCTCCTCCGTCCTCCCCCTCCTCCTCCACCTCTCTCTGCCACTCCCCGCTCCTCCCCATCCTGCTGGTCTCCCTCCTCGCCTCCCGGTCCTCCCCCTGGTCTCCTTCTGTATCGTGCTGTCCATGCCCCATCGCCTCCCGGTCCTCCCTCTGGTCTCCTCCTGCTCCGCCCTCATCTTGCTGCTCCGCTTCGTGCCCCCTCGTTTCGTGCATCGTCCCCACTCCATGTTCGCCAGCCTGGAGGATCACTGCGTAGCACTGCGCTAATATACACAGCCAATTCGCTCTGAGGGCTGAGCAAGCTCACTGTGTGGCCGTCAGCGTCCCCGCCCGTCACAGCGTTTCACGGCCGCGGACGCTGCAGGCGCAGGCCCTCGGCGTTTTTTTTTCCCGCGCCTGGCGCTTGCGCCAATGTATTCTCTCCGACGCCAGACCCACCAGGCGTGTCAGGCCAATGACATCCCCTGGGCGGCTGCCCTGCCGAGCCGGCGTCCCGCAAGAAGCAGCACAGCCTGCGCCACGTCCGCGGGCCCCTAAGTTCCGATCCTACCCCGGGTGCGTTCCCTCGCGCCACCCCTCCGCGCTGCTCCTCCCATCGCCCTCCTATTGAGCTCTCTGAGCAGCTCTCTCTCTCTCTCTCTCCTCCCCTCGCGATTCTCCTTGTTCGCTCACCCGTCGTATTCCCTCTCCCCCCCCGTTACCCTTCGTCTCCCCCTCCTCGTGGCCCTCCCCCTCCTCCCCCCCCCCATCCGACCTCTGGGCGCATTCGGCATCCAGCCGGGGAGTGCAACGAGATGCCCCCTCCACCTCTTCCTCCCCCGTCTTCCCCTCGTCTTCCCGATGCCCTCCTCTGCCCTTCCCCGCCTCCCGTCGGCCGTGACCCCCCCCCCCGTGCGCGTGTCCTCGGCAGCGCAGGGCGGGGCAAGAAGGTGGGAGGGCCGCAGTCATGGCAGGCGGGCCCCGGAGATGCGGGAGGGGAGGGCGGGGGGAAGAGGAGGGAGCGAGGGGTGGGAATGGAGCAGGACGGGAGCGGAGGGAGGAAGGGGAGGGCCGAGGTCCTGGGAGGGAGGGGAGGGGGGAAGCAGGGGAGAAGGGGGCTGGCAGGGACTGGGGCGACGGAGGAGAGCCCGGGGAAGGCGGGGGGACGCTGAGAGGAAGGAGGGGGGAGGACCTGAGGCTGGGATGGGGAGGTGGAGGCTGGGCCAGGGCCCTGGGTCGGCGGCGCATGGGGGGGGGGAGGGAGGACGGCGGTGGCCAGGACTGGGCCCGCCTGCACGAGGACGTGCTCCGCAGGACCTTGCCGTGCCTCGCCACTCCTCCCCCCCCATCCTCCTCCTCCTCGTGCTCTTCCTGCTTTGTTCTGCTTGCTGTTGAGATCGCAGACCGGGAGTCACGGCGGGCCCCCAAGGGGGAGCTTGCACGCAGCTGTTGCAGCCCGTGGGTGTTAGGAGTGCTGCCTCGGCGAGGGTCGGTACCAATCGGTGCAATGTTTCTTTGGGGTGTGTGTGTTGCGCCCCTTGAGGGACTAGGCGGTCTTGGAGGCCAGCGAAGGGCCTTTTGGGGTCCACTGGGCGTGAGGGGTGTGCCGAATTGAGGCTCGAAGGAGCCGTCTCGGGGGCCAGCTGAGCGCCAGACATTCACGAAGTGTGTGAGCGGCGTGCCGAATTGAGGTCCCCATCAAAATTGAAGGGCAAACCATTTGTATTTCACCACCATCCTGTGGTGTTGGGTCCTCATTTTGAAGAGACAGCGCCCCGCGTCACCTCACCTCACCTCCCGTCCTCCCCCCCCTTCTCCCTCCTCCCTCCTCCCATCCGCCTCGTCATCGTCATCGTCATCGCCATCATCGTCATCATCATCGCCATCGTCATGATCCACATCATCATGATCATCACCATCGCCATCGTCAGCGCCGCGCCCCTCACACGGTTCGGGGCACCACAGGGAGTTCCACCGAAGGCCAACGTGGCAGCGGTTACATGCGTCACCGCCGCCCCATGTTGGCACATCCCTCACACGGCTCGTGGCCCCACAGGGAGCTCCACCGAAGGCCCCAACGGGAGCGTCCGCATGGCACCACCGCCCCATTTCGGCACACCCCTCACACTGTTTGTGACCCCATGGGGAGCTCCGCCGAAGGCCCCAGCGGGAGCGTCAGCATGGCACCGCCGCCCCATTTTGGCACACCCCTCACACGTTTCGTGGCCCCAGAGGGAGCTCCACCGAAGGCCCCAGCGGGAGCGTCCGCATGGCACCGCCACCCCATTTTGGCACACCCCTTACACGGCTCGTGGCCTCATAGGGAGCTCCACCGAAGGCCCCAGCGGGAGCGTCCGCATGGCACCACCGCCCCATTTTGGCATACCGCTACACGGTTCGTGGCCCCATAGGGAAGGGAGCTCCACCGAAGGCCCCAGCGGGAGAGTCCGCATGGCACCACCGCCCCATTTCAGCACACCCCTCACACGTTTCGTGGCCCCAGAGGGAGCTCCACCGAAGGCCCCAGCGGGATCGTCCGTATGGCACCGCCGCTTCATGTCGGCGCACCCCCCGCACGTTTCGTGGCCTCATAAGGAGCTCCACCGAAGGCCCCAGCGGGAGCGTCCGCGTGGCACCGCCGCCCCATTTCGGCACACCCCTCACACGCTTCGCGGCCCCATAGGGAGCTCCACGGAAGGCCCTAATGGCGACGTTCGCAGGAGTCCTCCTGACTCATGTCGGCACACCCTTCACACGTTCCGTGGAAGAAGAGTATACCGCGTGCGCTACTCGGAGTTTGCGCGCCCCCCGCCTTCGTCTGCTCTCCCTCGCGGCACTCGCAGCTGCATATGGTTGGGTTCTTCTTCAGGCTATTTCTATGCCTCCCAGGAGGCTCGAGGCCCAAATCATTTGTTTGTTCACATGTCCCAGGAGCTTGAGAGCGCAGATCATTCGTATTTTCACGTGTCCGAATCGAGTGTGGGACAGGTAATGCTGGAGGGGTGTGTAGAATTGGGCCTGGTGTGGCCCTCGGAGCGCAGACCACTCGTAACTTCACATGTCCCAGTATAGTGTAGACCAGGAAATGCGTTAGGGGTGGGCCGAAATCGCAGCGTCGTAGCCATGAAGGCGCTGCTCACTAGTATATTGCCGGACCCCAGAATATTGCCAGAGAGGAAGTGTGTGAGAGGTGCGCCGAAGCAATGCTTTCGAAGCCCTGAGGGAGCATCTCACTGGTGTTTTTACATGTCCCAGGATCTGTCACTTGCGCGTGGGCCTAGCACCCGCAGCCTGTCGCACCTGTAGCTTTACGGCCCCCAGGAGAGAGTTCATAACATCGGTCATCTTGAGGCCGGCGGAATGCGCGATGCCGCTCTTAGCATGCCTTTCACGCATGCGTCTTCTACTCATATATTCATACCATCTCGTCATCACCAACGTCATATATCATCAGCATCGTAGTACTCATGTCATATATTCATATCATCATCGTCATTGTCATCATCATTTTCATATCACTCTACTCATATCATCATCTCGTCATCTCATCATCTTCTTCTCATGCTTCATCTGCTTCATCTCGCCATCATCTCGTCATATAGTCTCGAAGCCTACCCCTGCGACGGGGCCTGCAGGGGGCCCGCCGAGCTGAGCTCGCAGAGCGGGAGTCACGGCGAGGGCCTTCAGGGGGAAATTTGCACGCAGAGTTTGCAATCAGTGGGTGTTGGGGGTACTGCCTCGACGAGGGGTGGCACCAATCGTTGCAACGCTCTTGGGGTCGTCTTGGCGTCCCTTGCGGGTTTGTGCGACCCTGGGGGCCAGTTGAGGACCTGTCGGGGTTCATGGGGCACGAAGTGCGCAAAGGATGTGCCGAGTGGAGGCTCCAAGAAGCCGTCCCCGGAGCCAGGTGAGAGCCCGACATGCACGAAGTGCGCGAGGGGTGTGCCGAATTGAAGTTTCCAGGAGAGTAGACATGCAAACCATTCGTACTTGGGCCTATCCCCTGAGCCTGGAGGCCCAACTCACTCGTCTGCTCGCGTGCCGCAAGGGCCCGAGACCGCAGATCAGGTGTATTCCCAGATGCGCCGGGAGAGTATGGAGCAGGAAATGCGCGAGGGGTGTGATGGAACAAGGCTGTCGTGGAGTCGAGAGCGCAAGCCACCAGCACTGCCACGCGCGCCAGGAGCTGTTGTGCAGTCCTGGCCTGCGGGGGCCGGCGGAATGGGCGAGGCCGCTCTCAGCATGCATGTGCGCATGGTCCTCGCTCATCGCATACAGTCGAGGCGTTGACCTAAGGAACCCTAAATAAGGAACGAGGCCCCTTGTTCCCATAAGTTCAACCTCGATTTCCGATCGAAAACATAAGGAAAACCTGAGGCAAGCTGCGAAACACTTAAGGAACGCGGAGCCCCTCCCCAACGAAAAGGGTTCCTTCTTCAGGGCCCCGACTGTATTCTCGAAGCCTACCACGGCGAGGGCTCGCAGGGGGCCCGCCGATTTTGATCGTTTCGCTCGTTCCGCCGGCCCATCCTGTTTCACCGCTGTCGTTTGCCCGAGTGTTCGTCGCCAACGTGGTTCCGCTGGGCGGCGGCCGTTTTCCTGAGGCGGTGCGTGAGGTGCGTTGGAGGTGAAGCAGTTACCATTGAGCTGCTGTTCGGGGGTGGTTGTCGCGGACCCCTGCGGTGTTGTCTGGGCAATCGTGGGTTTCATGGAGCTTGTACGTGCTTTGCTTGTGCCGTTGTCGGGCTTATCGCCAATGAATGTTCGCCCTGGAGACATTCCGAAGACTGGAGCCGTCCTGTGTAAGTTTGGACCTTTCTTTTTGCAGGGTAGCGGTCTATGCATGCGAACGCAAGGAGCAAGAAGAAATTGTGCTTGTCTCCTCTCCTCTATGTGTTGTCCCTCCGCCAGCTTGATGTGCGTGGGTAGCAGCGCAGAGGCGCGAGTGTGGAAAGGATGGGTGGAGGAGGAGGAGGAGGAGGAGGAGGAGGAGGAGGAGGAGGAGGAGGAGGAGGAGGAGAGGAGGAGGAGGAGGGAGGAGGAGGAGGAAGGAGGAGGAGGGAGGAGGAGGAGGGAGGAGGGGGAGGGGGAGGGAGGAGGAGGAGGAGGAGGAGGAGGAGGAGGAGGAGGAGGAGGGAGGAGGAGGAGGAGAGGAGGAGGAGGGAGGGAGGAGGAGGAGGAGGAGGAAGAGGAGGAGGAGGAGAACGCGGAGGAGGACGAGGATAAGGAGGAGGAAGAGGAGGAGGAGGATGAGTGGCAGCAGCAGCAGCAGCAGCAGGATGATGGTGATGATGATGATGATGATGAGGAGGAGGAGGAGGAGGAGGAGGAGGAGGAGGAGGAGTAAGAGGAGGAAGTCTCAGGAGGAGGAGAGGGAGGAGAAGGAGGGGAGAAAGAAGAGGAGGAGAAAGAGAAGGCGGCGGAGGAGGAGGAGGAGGAGGAAACGGACGAGGAAGAAGCACCTGACGTGCGCGGTCCACGCGGCTGTTTGCAAGGGGTGGGGGACGGGGAGGATGATGAGAGGAAGATTAGGGGAGGAGGAGGACGATTAGGAGGAACAGAGGTAGCAGGATGAGAAGGAACAGGGCCAGTGCAAACCCAAGACTCACTAACGATGTTGCAATAACCCCTCCCTCCAACTTCCCCTTCCAAAGGCTCCCACAAGAACTTATTTTCACTTGCCCCGTTGGTTGACACTCGTTCGAACATCTTGAACCGTGCTGCAACACCACTACTGGGACCGAACGCCGCGAATCAGCGTTACTGTTGCGCCTTAGCGATCCTGAATTGCGCGAGAACGCCATTCCTTGGACTTCAGCACCGCGAATCAACGTGACTGTTGCGCCCTGTCAGTTCTACATCCTGCTATAACACCGTTCCTGGGACGCCAGTCATGAGAATCCTTGAAGCTGTTGTGAACTCTTCGAACGACTGTGCGCGGCGTTGCAGCAAGAACCACCTTTTAGCAGGATGAGAAGGAACAGGGCCAGTGCAAACCCAAGACTCACTAACGATGTTGCAATAACCCCTCCCTCCAACTTCCCCTTCCAAAGGCTCCCACAAGAACTTATTTTCACTTGCCCCGTTGGTTGACACTCGTTCGAACATCTTGAACCGTGCTGCAACACCACTACTGGGACCGAACGCCGCGAATCAGCGTTACTGTTGCGCCTTAGCGATCCTGAATTGCGCGAGAACGCCATTCCTTGGACTTCAGCACCGCGAATCAACGTGACTGTTGCGCCCTGTCAGTTCTACATCCTGCTATAACACCGTTCCTGGGACGCCAGTCATGAGAATCCTTGAAGCTGTTGTGAACTCTTCGAACGACTGTGCGCGGCGTTGCAGCAAGAACCACCTGTGCGCTGGCGCTAAGGCGAGAGACACATTTTGGAAACAGCCCGGCCTCCATCCGCGAAGCTCGCGCAAATCTTTAAGACGACTGTGCACGGCGCCATGTCGAGAGCCACATTGTGAAAATTGCTCGCCCTCCTTCCGTGAACTCTTGCAAATTCCCAGCTCAAGGATCATACATGGTGAGGGAGTCTCAGGCGGATCGCCCAGCCTTCCCTACCGACCCGCCTCGGGGTACGTCAGGGAGGAGTTATTTATAAGGAAAGGACTTGAGGAAGAGAGGGAGGAAATCGCACGATGGCTTTGAAAAACTGGCTCGATGGCTTCTTGTGGCACTTCTTGGGCCAAACAGGGTCGTCGTCAAAATGCTACTCCCTGGAGGTGCCTTGGAGTCTCTCCGAAGCCTCTCGGTGGCGTCCGGGAGGCATTGTTGAGGCTTCCTGGGGAGTCCTGGGGATCTCTTGCGGCGTCATGGGACCGCTCGGGAGCCCCATTGGGCCCCCCAGGAGCTCTTGGGGACCACTTGGAGCCTCCCGGGAGCCTGCGGGAGGCCTCTGGGGGGCGTGTTGCCTCGTGGGGGCTCCGACGGGTGTCTCTTGGCGGCTCTTGGAGCAGATTGGGGGCCTCTTGGGGGGCACCTCGGGGTTGTCTTGGGAGGTTCCTTAGTGTTCTTTGGCCGATCTTGGGTTCTTTGTCCGCTTCTTCAGGTGCTCTTGAGGAGCCTCTTGGCCGCCTCTTGGGCCGTCTGACTCTTGAGGAGCCTCTTGGCCGCCTCTTGGGCCGTCTGGAGGCGACATCGGGCTGTTTGGGAGCACGCCTAGGTCGTCTTGACGACATCTGAAGGCGTCTTGAGGACATCCTAAGCCGTCGTGGACACAAAGGGCTCGTCTTGGCACCCTCTTGAGCCGATTCCCAGGGCGCCCTGGGTCTCCTGGAGCCCCCTTGGGAGCTCCACAGGCGACGCCAAGAAGGAACAAAACATCCTTGGCCCAGGGGTGGTCGTGACGCGCAGGTACTTGCCGCCCGGGGACCTCCAGGGGCGGCCCCGCGCGCGCGAACAAGAAATATTCGAAACCTGTTACTGAATGTATTAGCACGCCTTTGGCCCGCTGGGCTGACGAATTACTACTCATCCTAGTCCCCCTCCGCATCACCTTCTCCCTCCTCCTCCTTTTCCTCCTCCTGCTCTTCCTCCTCGTCATCATCATCAACATCAGCATCTTTTCATCCTCCTCTCCTCATGCCCCTCCCCTCTCATTTCTCTTCCTCTCTCTCTCTCTCTCTCTCTCTTCCTCCCTCTCTCTCTCTCTCCCTCTTTCCCTCCTCCCGCCTCCTCCTCACCCCGTCTTCCTCCGTTTTCTCTTTAGCCTTCTCAGAGGACTGCCTCTCCTCCGCTCTACCAACTTGACACATGCACGGCGAACATCACGAGCAAGCGTGCCGTGCCTTGCACGCGCGCGCGATCTCGAGCGCAGGGCAGCCACCAGTCGAAGGCGTGGCAGCGCCTCCCGGCGCACAGCCCGCGCCCCCTGCGCGAGGCGGCCGCCTCGTCTCTCCCTGCCCTGCCCGCTGCCGCCAGGCCCTGCCGCGGACTGGTGCCGAGAGGCCGCGCCAGACGAGGCGTGAGCGGCGACCACGCTCGGTCGGCTCCGCGCGGTGGGGGTCGAGGCCGGTCCTCCTCCTCCTCCTCCTCCTCCCCTCCTCCTCCTCCTCCTCCTCATCCTCCTCCTCCTCCTCCTCCTCCTCCCGCTCCTCCTCCTCCGCCTCCTCCTCCTCATGGTCCTCCTCCTCCTCCTCCTCCTCTCCTCCTCCTCCTCCCTCCTCCTCCTCCCTCCTCCCTTCCTCGGCCTCTCGTGTGTGTTCGGCCCGCGCCCTCGAGGAAGGCTGGGCGCTGCACCGTGCTCACGCTGGGCGTCCTCGCCCTGCTGCGGGCCCGGGGGCCATCACGGATCGATCTGGCTCGAGGCATGCCGCAGAACAATCGGGTCCAGGGCTCCCGTCGTGGTTCCTCCTAATGTCGCATGTCCCTCGTGGCGTCGGATCTCTCAGGGTTCTCTCGCCTGCGCGCCGCGCACATTCACATCCGTGTCAAACTCTTGCAGCAGTTTCAGGCAAGGGGCACTGGGCGTTTTCAAAAGGGGGCTCTCGCCTCAGCGCCGCGCGTATTGACTTTGGCACGCAATGTCTGAGGATTGTCCTCTTCAAAACGGGGCTCTCGCGAGTGACTTTGCTCAATCTCGACGCCCGAAACGTCCACACATGTAGCGTCGCACGGATCCAGGGCGGGTTGTTCCTCCAAAATGGAGCTGTCGCTCGAGACTTCCTCGAAGCTCGTGGCCACAAAAGTGCAAACTTGTGCAGCAGTTGCGCGGGTGGGGGAGCGCTCCTTCTCCGAACAGGGATCTCGCTGGACACTTCGCAGATTCTCCGAGCTCCCGATGACGTGCCAGAAGACAGTCCCTTTTCAAACCTGGCCCCTCGCCCAAGTGGGCCCAATCGTGCTGGACTTTCAGGGGTGCGTTCCTTGTGGTGGAGTGGAAACTTGGGACGGCAGGGTGTACTGCAGCTTCGCTGATGCCTCCTTGGTTTTCTCTGGTCCTCCTCCTCCTCCTTTGCTCCCGGATGGGGCGTCAGCGAGTTCAGGTCCTCCTCCTCCTCCTCCTCCTCCTCCTCCTCCTCCTCCTCCTCTTCCTCCTCCTCCTCGTCTTCCTCCTCCTCCTCCTCGTCTTCCTCCTCCTCGTCTTCCTCCTCCTCCGCCTACTCCTTCTCCTCCTCGTCCTCCTCCTCCTCCTTCTCTCTCCTCCTCCTCCTCCTCCTCCTCCTCCCTCCTCCTCCTCCGCCTCCTCCTTCTCCTCCTCGTCCTCCTCCTCCTCCTCCTCCTCCTCCTCCTCCTCCTCCTCCTCCTCCTCGCCTCCTCTTCCTCCCTCCCCCCCCTCCTCCTCCCTCCTCTGCTCCCGGAGGGGGCGTCAGCGACTTCGGGCCTCGCGCCTTCTCGTGGCGAGCGGGGGGCGACGTGGCTGCCCCACGCGCGTGCGCAGCCCCTCGCGTCCGCGGAGCAGGGCGGGTGTGGGCGGGTGCGCCGTCTCGGCCTGGCAGTAGGTCGGGCCTGTCCCCCAACAGGGGGGCTTTCGACGAGAAATGAAAAGTACCCCAAAAATGCCCCTACATGGTCAAAAGATATTCCACAAATAGTCCCCAGACCATTTCTGGATTATTGTTTGATTATTTTGGGGGTATTTTTTATTTTTCGTCGACAATCCCCCTGTAGGGGGACGGGCCCGACTTATGCCTGGCACTGCGGTTCCGTTGGCACAAGCTGCAACTTTACCGCCTGGGGTTCGTCACTTAGTCCATGCCTTGCGGTGGCATGTCTCACGGCGCGGTTCCTTCGATCAGTACCCGCGGCCCGCGGCCTCATTGGCACCACTCGTGATGGTGTCGCTTGGGGTTCTTCACCAATCCATTTCCTTGTCGTGGCAGGCTCGTGGCGCTGTTCCTTTTAGCAGTGCCCGCGGCCCCCGGATTTGCATTGTACCGTACCGGGGAAGGGGCCTGGGGTGCCCAGACGGTATGTGGTGAGGTGTCAGCTGTTGCCTTTTTCACGCAAATGGGGTATGTACTTCAAGCCTTTTGGGTGCAATGACGGGGGTTTTCTTCAGTGATGCATTCCTGTTTGTTTTCTTGGCAGTAAGCTGCTTGTTCTTGTAATCTTCCTTTTTCCCCATGGCTTACGGGTTGCTCTTATACCTTGCCGGGTGAAGGCCTGGAGTGTCCAGGGCCGCTTGGATATAGTTCAGGCAGGCTGTCAATTCATGTGCATGTGGAGTTCAACGCCGTATTCGTGTGCTTGGGCATGGCTCCATGCTTTCGTCAGAATGCCGTGCGTAGTGCCACGTTCGTGCCATCAGTTTCGTGGGTGCCTCGCTCGTTGGTGGATTGGCAGGCGTTTTCTGAGATGTGGGCGTGGCGCCGCGGTTTCCGCACATGCCTAGGCTCTCTGTGTGGGCTTCATCTTCCTCGTTCCTTCAGTTGTGGCGCGCTTCTCACATAATTCAAGGTGTGCCCGCTCTCGGTTGCTTGGCTTAGGAGGGGTGCGCATCTTCATAGTGAAGGGGCTCGTCTGGCGGTATCACGTTCGCTTTCGTCGTGCTCCACCAGCTTCTCGGCTGGCCTCAGGGTGGGCCTCCTTCTCTTCTTCGCCGCGGTGCTCATCGAGCTCAGGGGGTGGCGCGCTACTATATTTAATGGCCTCCGGCCCATCCCGCTACCGTGCCTGGGTTGTGGGTTTGAGGCCTCTCGAATGGTCAGTGGGATCTCGTCGAGGCCATTCAGGGGGCTGTTTTGAGGCCTCTGGGGGACTCTTTTTGGCATCTGGGGTACCCAGGGGCCTGTCAGGGCCCCGTGGGGGCCTTTGAGGGCCTCTTAGGGGCCTCTTGGGGCCTCCTGGGCGCCTCATGGGGCGGAAGGCTCAGATTTTCGGGGCCGTCTTAGGGCCCTCTTGGGCCCCTCTTGGGGGCCTCTTGGGTCGTCTTGGGGCCCTCTTGGTCCGTCTTGGAGCCCTCTTGGGGGCCTCTGGGGCCGTCTTGGGGCGTTCTTTGGGGCCTGTTGGCCATCTTGGAGCGCCGGGAAGCCGAAAAGGCGAGAGCGCCATAAACCTTCAAGCACGTACGGAAAATCAATGAATTCAGCCCGGGCGATCATTCGGCGAGTCGCGGCCCTCTTGGACCGACTTGGGGGCCTCTTGGGGCCCTCTGGGCTCGTTTTGGAGTCCTCTTGGGCCCGAAAAAATGTCACGCGGGAAGATGCGCCGAGCCCTGGGAGTTTTGAGAACTTGGGGGCCAGGCCTTGCAAACCTCTTCAGGCGTGAGGGCTGAGGCTCAGGGGGTTAGGCAAAGGACCTGGGGATCTGCCCACTCCGTGCCAAGCGGCAGGGTGGCGGGATCCTACGAGATGGTATAATCGCCAGAATGTCTCTATTTCCTCCTCTTCCCCCTCCTCTTTCTGCTTCTCCTCCTCCTCCTCCACCTTTTCCCCTCCTCCCTCTCCTCCTCCCCCCCTCCCCTCCCTTCTCCTACGCCGTCCTCTCCTCCTCCTCCTCCTCCTCCTCCTCCTCCTCCTCCTCCTCCTCGTCCTCCTCCTCCTCCTCCTCCTTCTAGTCGTCTTTTTCCTCCTTGTCTTCTTCCTCCTCCTCCTCCTCCTCCTCCTCCTGCTCCTCCTCCTCCTCCTCCCTCCTCCTCCTCCTCCTCCTCCTCCTCCTCCTCCTCGGCATCCCTCTGTCACCAGGCAGGGCACGCGGCGAATCCAGCTTTGCGGCTGAGGGATAATCCTCCCGCGTCTTTAACGTGCCTTGTGTTTATGGATGGGGGGGTGGACGTGTCTTGGGAGGTGGGGTCGTCGTCGTTGTCGTCGAGTCTTGATGTCGCCACCGCCATTGCGGCCAGGGCTCCGTCTGGGCTTCTGAGGGTCTTTGGCGATGGCTTCGGAGGAGCTCTTGCCTCCGGCCCCCGTCGCCGACGTGTCGGCGCTGCCGCAGTGTTGGTGGCCTGTGCTGGGCGTGCGCGGTCGCGCCTTCAGGGCTGGGCCTCCGAGACGGTGCCGAGGGTCGATGTGCTAGCATTCGAGCTTGCTCTAAGCAACATCCCAGGTGACTTTTGAATCTGATGCTGGTAGCACGCCCCTCTTAAAAGGTTGGCGCCGCCGTCGTCATATCCACTGCGGCGGTGTCAATTCCGATCTGCGGTTGCGAGTTCGTTTAGCCGTGATTGGCCGCGAGAACGGGATTGTTTTGACGTGGACCCCTTCTCGTGCTGATCCGTTGGACCCATCTCCTTCGGAGGATGAGGCTCTCATCTCGGCGGGCAACGATGAAGCCGATGAGCTAGTGTCCAAGGCTGCCCAGGAGTCTTGGGACATCTCCACCAGGGGTCAACGCGTGCCTGACACTGGCCGTTGGGATGCCACTTGTTTTTCGATCATCCAGCGGGCCGCCCAGGCGTTGGCGGAAACCGTCCGAGTGGCCCCCCTGGACCGCGGAGAGGCCCAAATCGGGCCGCCCGAAAACTACCAAGCTTCAGGCTGCTCTCTCTCGCAGCTCGCCTTGCTGAGTTCTAACTGGCCGAAAGTGTTTTTGTTGGCTTTGTTTGGGAACCTCTCCCTTGGAGAACGTGCTGGAGGCGTGTGACCAGCCCTGCCCGATGCGTTCGGGAATGGGATCGTGCGGGCGAGTGGGGTGGTGACAGTGGGGGGTGTTGAGCTTCAGCAGGGTCATGGCCTGCACCTTGGGCCTGCGCATCCGCTCTACTTCCGCTCTGCGTGTGTGTGGCCGAACGGCCACCGTGCTCCCCTGACAGTTACGTAATGCAGGAGTGCACTGGACGCTCCAAGAAGGAGGAGGAGGAGGAGGAGGAGGAGGAGGAGGAGGGGGCTCGAGAATCTCCAGGGAAGTACACGGGGGTTGCTCCCAGGCTACAAGAGAGTCCAGCGGCCTCCGATTGGGAGGCTGCCGCCCGCCGTGTGTAGCGCAAGCACGCGTGCCGGATGGTGCCGGGCGCCCTGTCAGTTCTCAGGCCACGTGCACTGTGGCGCCCAGGACCCTCCTCCTCCTCCTCCTCCTCCTCCTCCTCCTCCTCCTCTCCCTCCTCTTTTCCTCCTCCCCCCACTCCTCCTCCTCCTCTTCCTCCTCCTCCCCCCACTTCCTCCTCCTCCTCCTCCTCCTCCTCCTCCTCCTCCTCCTCTCCCTCCTCCTCCTCCTCCTCCCCTCCTCCCCCTCCTCTCCCTTCTCCCCGCGGGCCGTCGAGCGGGTGCGCGCCTGCGGTTGCACGTTCGAGTTGTCGACCGCGCGCGCCCGCGCGCGAGGTTGCCCGCCTCGCGGGGCGCGCAGGAAAAAGACAGCCCGACAGGGGGGTGGGAGAGAGTTGGAGCTGGCTGGGGGTGCGAGGTGGCACAGCATTGGTTCCGGCCAACAGGAAGAGGGGGGGGGGCCGGGGGGGGCAGGGGCTCGAAGTTCGGGTTCGAGGAGGTTTGTTGCTTGCTTTGCGCGGCTCCGGGGGCCTCGTTCGGGGCCTGGGGCCGTCAGAAGCGGATCCGGTGGGAAAAGCTCTGCCAGATAGACCCTTGGACCCTTGTGTCAGTGCAGTTCTTTTAGCTCGGACTGCGCGGCAGTCAAAACTGCGGGTGCGTCCCAGGGCCCTAGGACTAGGGCCAAAACAGCGGCGGGCAGCGTGCATGCCACAAAACAAGACAAGCGTGTACAACATACACACATGGTGGCACGGGCGGCAGAGGGGCAGGGGAGTGCACTCTTCACACTGGGTGAGTACAATGCTGCCCCGATGCCGCTCCCTTCGAAAGGGAAACGCTGCACGCAATTATAATGTATATCAGCCCACAGGCCGAAACACCTCAAGCAAATGCGGCCTGAGGCTCAAGATATAAATATAAAATATGAATGTCTAGATTCACTAATCCAGACTGTCAACTCAAAGGATATGCATGAAACACCTCAAGCAAAGTGCGGCCTGAGGCTCAAAATATAAATACAAGAATACGAATGTCTGGATCCACTATTCCAGACTATCAACTCAAAGGATATGCATACATCACCGTAGCCCTCACTAGGTCCATCAGCAGCCGCAATCAGGACCTCACGGGCTCGCAGGCCCTGGAACGGCGACCCGACGCAGGGCCTTCCGCTCCTTGGCTCTCTCACGCTGTCCGCGGCGCAGCCGCAGACGGTGTGCCTCCTCATCCTCTTGCTCAGCAGTAGGCACCATGCTGAACAGTCCGTGGCGGAGGAACTGCGATAGCACCTCGTTAGGCTGCACGGCCTTTGTCAGCACGTCCGCTAGCATGTGGCTATTAGGCAGCCACTTGAACTTGATGGCCTCCTGCTCTATCAAATCCTTGGCCACCAACAAGTCAATGAGGGTCTGCCGAGACACCGGCATCGAGCCGATCTTGGACGTGTGATCGTAGAGCGACTTCGCATCCGTCACGAGCGCCCCTGGAACCTTCAGCGCCAGCCTCCAGTCCCCTTGCAAGGGCGGCTCCCCGTACAAGATTGCCTCAATCAGCAGCCTGAGGTAAAGCTGCCGATCCAAAGCCACGGACATAGCCGCAGACTCTGCGGCCATCGTAGATCCAACAACTCGTGTAATAGTACTGCTCTGAAACTCCACTAGACAGCATACAGTTAGCTCCTTCAAACTCGGGTGTCCGTAATCATACTCATGAACCCCATCTGGCTCTTACAGCCGGGTTCCTTCGCAAACGAAGCGTCCATAAGCGTGAGCACCTGCAAGCGCTCGATGTCCACACGGCGGATCCGGAGAGTCGCAAGACCTCTCTTGTCGTAGTCCTGAAGCCGGTCGATGATGTCATTGAGCACTCGCAGGTGCAGTAACCTCCGACCTTTCGGATCCTTCTGTGCGAGCGCCGAGACACTATACGCGAGCTGTGGCACCACGCGTGCGACAGGCCACCGCACCTTCTGGAGCAAGCTCCGGAAGTCGTGGTGCTCCTCGGGAGTCATCTCCCGCTCCTCGTCGTCACCCCTTGCAAGGGGGTGCTTCGTCAGCTTGCCGATGTACTCGTGCATGCTGATCTCGATGTGATCGGGGTGGCGCCACCACTCCTCACCGAGATAGGCGACTGCCTCCTTGTCGTTGCCCTTCTTCCAGTGCTTGATGTTGAAACGACTGTTGATGTTCGCCTTCACCTCCTGGTACTGGGGGTCGTGCGGGTCTCCAAACAGCATGCCGTCGTCGACGTGCAAGGTCAACATAGCAATCAACTTATCGTTCATCCGATAAACGAAGACAGCTCGAGCACAGCGCAGCTCCACGAAGCCGACCTCGTCCGTCAACACCTGGCGGGCTCGGAGATACCACAACCGAGGCGCCTCCGTCAAACCGTACGCCCCTTTCAGCAAGCGAAGCAACGCATAAGGTCGCACGGCTGGCCATCCAGCACCGTCGACGGCTGGAAGCCCGTCCTTAGGAGCCCTCACATACAGCTCCCGTTCCAGCTTCAGCCCGGACAGGAACGCAGTCGCTACGTCGAAGCACTCGAATGTCCAATCCATCGCCATTGCGATAGACGCACACACCAGCACAGCCAAAGGGGAAGTAGTAGGCGAATCCGTCCTGAATAGACCAAGCTGCGGGTCGAGATGGCCAGGGATGATCAAGCGCGACTTCGCTTCCAACTCCAGCCCTCGCCCCCAGTTCGTGCGAACCGAACGCATGGGCACCGAGATGATCTTGTCCTTTGGGATGCTCTTCTCCTCCTCCTCGGTGACCAGCTCGACCGTGTTGTTGGCGATCCATTGCCGCCACTCGGCGGCATCGGCCTCGTCGAACTTAGCCTTCTCGTGCTGGTTGAAGTGACGTGGGTCTAGCTCCTTCGCGTTCTGCTTCATCACGAGTGCGAACACGTCGTGCTCGTACCGGGCCTCCTGCAGCCATGCGTCATACACAGATGACACGTTGATCCATTCCTCGTAAGTCATCGGCTGCCGTACAAGACCCTCCGGAGTGTCCAAATAGTACACCCCTTGTGCCTGAGCGTCCGGCTTGTCGTGGTAGAAAAGCGTGAGACCAACCCAGCTGTCCTCCGTGCGCTCGTTGGTACGGCTCGCGCCGTCGTCCTTGTAGGCACACTGGCCCGTGGCGGAGAGCATCACCGACAGGCGATTGCACTCCCGGTGGCGGTCGTGATCATAGAGTCTCCGCCGTGGCTCTCGATGTACGCGTACTCCTCGTACGACTTTCTGAACGAGCGTGGAGACACCATCCAAGGCATTCTGGTCGAACCACTCCTGGGGTCCCGAGTGCACAACAGCGTTCATGGCCACCTCGCGGAGGGCCGGCAAACCACTCGTAGGAGCAGCCTGCAGACGCGTCTTCTTGATGCAACTCGGCACGTCATCTACCAGGAACTTCCGCTTTCGCTCAAGCTCGAAATCGTCTCTGGGAATCGGCGGCACCGAAGGGCCGCCAGAGCCCGATGCTCCCGGAGAAGCCTTCGGGTACGTCTCAGAGGATATCCGGCCTGGAGGGGAACGAGAACGTGCCCTCCTCGGAGGGGGAAGCTGCGGCAGCTGCTGCTGCTCAGGCGGCTCCTCCTCCTTAGCCTGTGCCTCAATGGCGTCCAGGGCCCTCAGGTCCACACGAGGCTGCCTGGACCCCTCGAGCTCCCTATGTCGGTCACGCTCCTTCTTCAAGAATGTTTTCCTCACCTTCTGAACCTTCACCTTGGGCGTGACGTCCACGATGTCGTGGTAGGCGCGATCATCTCGCTGCTGTGTCAGCCGCACGTCCGTCTGGATGGACTCTGCAGCTGCGGCCTCCTGGGAGGAGGCGTGCCGGAGCTGCTCTCGAGCAACAAGTAGCACGTGACCACGCCATGATACGTAGTACCGGCTGTTGGATTCCTTCGCGATCACAGTCGCAGGACCCCGCCATCTTTCAGGATCTTGCCGACGACGTCCCTTGAACGGATTCGGTGCCCAGAAATACACCCTCGATCTTGGGCACAGATCGCCGACGACCGTCGGCGCCTGTCGTAGCAGCGCCCTCCGCACCTTGTCCGTCGCGTCGCGCTCCAGCAACATCATCTTTGCTGCGGTACGGATTTGAGACGAACGCCAAGCTATGCCCTTGGCGCCGAGAACCGACATGAGAACCTCATCGTCGTCCCTGTTAGTCACCTCCGTAAAGTTCAAGATCCGCCCGAAGACAGCCTGCTCCGGGGTCAATCCATTGCGGCTGATCGTCGAGTTCTTCGCATTGATGATGGCAGCCAGGGCCACAGTAGACATCGACTTGCCCTGGACGTGGAACTCGTGCACCACCTTGCCCCAGATAGTGCCGAGCAATCCTCCGTGGCGCTCGGCCAGGCCATGCTGCCATGCTGCATGAGCTCCCGTCGTCTTCGTATTAATGCCGAACTGCTCCATCAGCGCGTTGAAGTAGCCCTCGAACTCGCCGCCCTGGTCGATCACGATGTTCTCTGGCACGCCGTAATGCTTGAACCACTCATTCATGATCTGGCGTGCTACGTGCTTGGCCGTCCTATTCTTGAGAAGGCAGGCGCAGTGCCATCCCGTACCAGCATCCACCATGCTGAGGACCACCAGCTGCTCCTTGGCCGCGTCCCGTAGGTACTTCACGTCGATCACAACCGTCACATTGAAGCCGAATGGTCGCACGTCCGCCGTCCCTTGCACTGGACGGGGCGGCGCCTCCGACTCAGCACAAGTCGGACACTGCCAATGCTTCGCGTATGCCAACGCGTTGGGCGTTGCACCGCCGAGACGCAGCATCTTGATGAACGTCGGTCGGCTGGGGTGTCCGAGACCGCGATGGGCCTTCCGCACAGCACGTCGCGTACTCCGAGGAATCTTCGTCATGATGTCCTGCCGCACCACCTCCGGAAGCTCCATCTCTGACCAGGAGGCTGCAACCTCCTCCTCCTCCGCAGGGTGCTGCATGGACTCCTCCTTCACCGTCTTCTGCAATGCCTCGCGAATCTCGGCTCGAATCTCCTGCGGTGTTTTCCCCCACTCAGGTCTCTCCGAAACGTCTCTGGGAGCCTCTCCATGACCCTGCTCCGCGGGCTCGGGTCCATAACTCCTGGGCTCCTCCGTGGGGTCAGGGAGTTGTGCTGCAGGAAAACTCGAGTTCTCGAACTGCCAAGCCAAATGATCCGCGGCACCGCTCATCACAGCCGTGCCGAACTCCTCTGCGCAGCTCCCGCGCACGGCCGTGCAAACCCCAGGGTTCGCCAACACTCTCGTGGTGTCCTTGAGGCAGATCGCGTCCTCGAATGCTGGGTTCGACTTCGTTGCACTCACGGGTGGCTGGCTCCAGATTGTCGATTGC